AGTTTTTGATAAAATCCAAGCGAAAAACTATTTTTTTTTAAACTAAAAGGTGGAAAAATGTATTTTTTTTGCGAAAATTGGTCAATTTAAGCTTTGAAAAAAATCAGTGTTTTTTTTTGGGTGTACGAATATTTTCTTGTTTTCCAGCTGCCTCTCGATATCACGAAAGCCGAGCAGCGCGAAACCAGCAGAAATCATTCCGCTTCAAGTTCGGATTGTAACACGATTCCCCGTTACTTTGGATCTGTCACTACCACGTGCACATCGGTCAGTTCAATAAAATTAATCTTAAAACGGTACTTTGGATACTTCGCATGTAACGCTAAATTATGTCTTATATTTCAGGATGGTCTGGCGAGTGCCGTCTTTAAATTTTGAGACACATTCCAATGGCTTCACGGCTTCAGCCCCTGAATTGACAATCACTTGCACCGGAAATCGGGTCCTCAACGTTACGGTCGGTTTTTAGACATTTTGTCAATTTTCTTATCTCTAGAAAGTTTCAATCCAAAAACGATCCCATTGCCCAAAAATGGAGGCGGCTCGTCGGGAGTTTGGTGACCTGCAACTCGACTCAAATACGGTAGTTTCCTAAAAAACGCCCGTAAATGATTATTTAGGTCTGGACGTGGGCGGCCGATCAATTCCACTTCATCTTGCCGTTCGAATTCAGCTTCGCCGTCATCTTCTCCGAGTTTATCAACGCGTTCAAGTGGATCAAGGTCGGTTGGGTTTAAAAGCTGCAAATACCGTTACTAGAGCGAAAATAAGCTATTAAACTTAGCCGATTATGGTAATTTTCTTTTCTAAACTTTTTTTTACGATTGCTAAGCGTAAAAAATACAATTTTTGTTCAAATATACACAAAAACAACGACTCTCGATGAACATGGAAAAATTGGTTTTCCACTTGGATTAAAATTAAGATTAACTAAAACATTAAATCCCCCCGATACTGGAAAAGAACCGAAAACCCCGGTTTAAAATATACCTTTAGATAATCCACGATATAAAGCCGAAGCTATTCACTAAGGATTCGCCCCTTCCGGCTGATATCAAGATCGAAATCAATGTCGGTGATTTTCAAGCTATCAACTAAACTTATTAACATTTTTACGTTTTTTAATTTTGACAAATTGCTGATTTTAGGAGCTGCGCCTTGAGCTTGAGGATGATCCGTTTGAGACGAGCCTGCAGGCCAATTACGAGCTGATGGAGGATGAGGTTTGAAAAAGCTTTTATAAATCCATACTTTTTAGGTGTACGAATGTGAACGACGACGCCAAATGCTCGCCGAACGGCTGGCCACCGTCAAGAAGTTGAACCCGTTGTTGCCACGTTCGTTTTCTATCAAAGAATTAATTAATTAAACTGAACTTTAGAAGCAAAAATCGACGAGCTGTTCGCGAGTCTGCTGGAGAAGAACAGCGCCATCTACATCGAGCGCTGGCGGAAGCAGCCGCCGGAGCGACGGTTCGTTTTTTTGTCTATTAAAATACGAAAATTGGCTTGGCGTAGTTTGTAGCTTAAAGCTGTTTTTCTTTTTAAATTATTTACATATTTTTAGAGCCATTTTCAGGCCCCTCTTCGCGTCGGAATGGCGAAAATTCCGAATTCACGCGTTCGCCGACCCGTCGTTCCACGGCACCGAAAGATGTCAGGCGCTGATCCAGGAGTTCGACCCGGTTAGGTTGGTATAAAAACAAACCATTCTCAACGTTTTTATGTTTAAGTTAAATTTTTAAAACTTAAAATTTTAGCCACTACCCGTCTGACCTGTCCTTTTCAACGCTATGGGCCCGTGGCTGCGAATTTGACGTGGAATCGTGGACGGCACAATTTCGAGACTACCCTACGCCCTATTTTCAGGTAGATTGATCATTATTACCTATGAACACCGATAACTGAACTCATACTAACTTAATATGCTTAAAAACCCACGTTTTAGGCGACCGACATGCACTTTTTCGGGACGCTCGTCGGCGCGGAACGATTGAAGGTGTGATCATGTTGTTTTCATTTTAAATTTTTAAGGATTATTTTTAATTTATTTAATGTTATTTTATCCATAGAAACATAGACTGTAGTAGTGTATTTATTCTTTAATTCTCAGCTCGCTCGATGCGAGACGTGCCGATCCCGCTGAACGCGCCGTGGGAGACGCACACGGTGAAGCGGAACATTGCCCCGCTAAAGTTCTATTATGACATGCAATGCGGTAATGAACCATAGGTTTTTTTTAAACGATTTTTGTATTTTAGAAGCGGCAAAAGTTGATTCGTGGTATGGGCCATGTTGGGAACCGTGTCTCTCGATGGTGTCGCTCACGTGGAACAACATTTCTGCCCCATCGGTATGCTATTTTTGTACCGTTCCACGTAATTTTAAAGGGATTTACAAGGTACATCCTGGTGGGTTCTTTCGCATTATTGGAGGGGGGATAGATTTTTCCCTATAAGTCTAGAAGTGTCTAATCACTTCATAGTAACTTTTTTTTTACTCTTTTTAGAAGAATAAAACTATTTTTCAACTACAATAGTATCTAAAAACGCTGAAAAATTTTCAAAAGCCGCCATTTTTTGTCGAAAGTCGATATTTTTGTAACGCAAATATGTAGATTTTTAAGTTTACAAGTGGTTAAAAACATTTTAGAAACGCTTCATTTATTTATATTCGCAAATTGGAATTCCAGAAAAAGCTGTCCACCTCGATAATGCTAAAGGTCCAAATCCACGATTATTTTAGGTGGACCCCTCGCCGGTGCTTCCATTTTGGGACAAAATGCGCTACCTTCTCCACGGCCGGTTCAGCATGCTGTGTAAAGAGGTCAGTGCTAAAATACCGGTCTTTTTCAAGCTAAAAATTTAGGTGCGTACTACCATGCTGGCCTCCCCAGACCCATACAATTCCACGGAGACTGTCGAGTGGTGCTGGGAGAATTTTGGGCTCGATTGGCTCATTGGTAGGCCTAGAATCGAAAAAAACCACGAATAATTTAGGCGAAATCCGGATCCGGTCCTGTTTGAGCATCTACGTCCGCACCGCCTCAAAATACGACGATTCTAGGATTCTGTATTTGCCGCAGGTTTGTGAAAAAGCCAGGCTTGAAAAATTGTATTTATTAAACCGTTATAAATTTTAGGTGCTTTTGCAATATCGGGGGCAATCTAATTTGTGCCATAAAAAGCCATGTCAGGTAATCATGCAATATTCAGTATTTTGATGGTGTTTTTAGCAAAATTTAGTTATATTTAAAGGGGAAACGCAATAAAAAAAGTTGAGAATTTCCCTAGTCAAAATTGTCGAAAATTGGCAATTTTTGGTCGAACAATCCGATATTTGTATTTTTTAACAAAGATTTATAAATCTTCGATAGTTAAAATAAAAAAATGCCATTTCTAGGTCCGCTGGCGCATCACTCTGGATTGGGTATGCCTCGGCGATCCGCACGATCACCACGCGGCCACCCCGTGCTCACCGAGTCGACTCCCCCATTGCGCTACGGTACGCGGCGTCAACTTTTAGCTAACCCCCGTTTCAGGAGCACGACTCCTACCGGGCATTCCGCTCGAAATGCCTCGACCTGTCCTTTTGCTTTGACGTCGACGCGGCTGATGCGTATGGGGGTGAGTTGAAGCTTATTAACCTCTGATTTCAAATTCTTTTAGACCCGAAAGAAGCGCATAGCTCCAAACGACCCCATATGCTTCTCTATGCCAACACTTTTCGATGCTTCGAGTTTTTGATGGTAAGTTGCCATTGCGAGAAATTAACATTACATCAAAAATAAAATATCAAAAAAGACGAGGAAAAAGGAAAAGTCGTATCTTAATCGATTTTGAATTGATATATTAATATCTATATGGTTTCCGGGCATCAAATTTGGTCCCCACCCGCTAACAGTCCAGTACCGCGAATTCTATAGTGCCAATTTCAGAACACGCTCACCCTGACAAATCGCCCCGTCAAAAAGGGCCCACTGTTCGGATCGCCGAGCAGATCGAAGCCGCAGCTCAGCAAGCATTTCCGGTAGTTTAGCCCGGAAAGCTGATAGTTTGATGAAATTCC